GAGAGAGAGAGAGAGAGAGAGAGAGAAATGAATAATTATGTAGATATATACTCTCATTTTCATATCAGGCTTCTTAATCATAAATTGTTGATACTCCTGGAAGTGCTGTATGAAAAATTGTGATTTCTTTTCTTCAAAAGTGTACTTTACCTTTTATAACATTCTGCTATTCTTCTCCCGGTTTACTACAACCCACATCTTGCTTGTCCTCTCTCCCTTGGCCTCACCAGCCTCGGAATCCCTTGCCTTTTCCTTTGACAGCTTGTTCTTCCTCAGATGCATGAATTTCCTCCGTTTGATCTAATTGCCCTTCTCCCTTAACTCCTTTCCCCTTTAACAGCCCTTACTACCAAGCTTCCATCAGCTGCTCCTCTCTACTCTTTTCACTACTGTGCTATCCTAGAATGCTGTTTATCTCCTAACATCATACACACCTTACCCTAATCAGTAACTCAATTCTACCTTTTCTGTTGCAATACTTAATCATAGTGCTCTATGACTCTAGATGCTTTGCACGTATATTTGTTTTAACCATTAACCACTTACTTCCCAAAGAAATTAAATCAAGAATATGTAGACCTGTGCTCTCAGTAATTTGATAGAAATGATTTGTAGTTACAACAAGTTGGAAAGTGGAAAATATTAAACACAATAAGTAACATCAATTTGTTTTTTCTTTCAGTGATAACTTTGCCCATGAGCTTGGCATGTTACAGGAACATTCAAACATGCATAATGATATGGATAAAGGCAAAAAAAAGGCAGAATGGAAAGCAATTAATGGAGAAAATTATGAGTTGAATGGTATGGAAAGGAAAGATATAAATGGCATTGCAAAATCTGCTGATTTTTCTCTGAGACCACTCTTTGGTAAAACAATGACTGATAAGGAACCTCAAAAGCAGGTGTCAAAAGTTGAGAAAACCAGAGTAGATGATTTACCTTTTAATTTAAAGAGTAGATCTGTGGTCTTTAGCATGAAGGCGTTGATTGAAAAAGGTAGAACAAAGTACCTTGAAGAAAAGAAAATAGAGCAGACACCAACTCGGACACGTGAAGAAAGTAAACAACAGAAAGAAAAATATCTTTTGAATGTCCTGAAACTGTACCCTGCTAAAGAAATTGCAAAAACAGTATCAGACTGCCAAGTGACATCAGATTCTTACAAGGGGCAAGACACAGCAAATTTATCAACTAGTGCAGCTAATCCTAATATCATAACTAATTCAAGTAAAGAGACGAAGAGTCATAGGTACAGTATCCTAAAACGACTAAGGACAAGTAAACCATATGAGAAGGGTAGAATGAGCACATCAGAATCAATGCTGTTGCATCATAAGGAAACATACTCTCCATTCATCAAATACAAACTCGTCTCAAGTAAAAAATGTGACCAAGAAGAATTTAGAGAGATACAGCAGTGCCTTCAGCCCGCAGCAGGAAGAGCACAAGCAGATAGAGAATCACAGCATTTGAGAAAGTTCAATTCTCAAGGTTCCTCAATGCAGAGATATCTAAAGGCAAGTGATTATGAAGTTCATTACAATATGTAGAGCAGAAAAATAAATATTCATGGGAAAAAACTAAATATTTTCAACTGCTCTCTTGAATCTCATTATTTCCACATGTGTGTTGTAGATAGGTCATTATTTTATGTCAAAAGTGGCATTGGTTTTTACTCATAAATGCTTGATTTTATTTTATTACTACTACTGCTCATATTGAATCTTGTCTCATGATTTATAATTTTGTATTCTCATGTGCAGTTTTTAATTGACCCTTCAGGAAACTGTAGTAATGAATTCCTTCCCTTTCATACTTCTGTATGACTAATTATTTACATTGTCTCTTCCTACTCTAGCTGAGCTATGACCAACAAAGGTTACTGACAGAGAAGTACAGTCCTGGCTTCATTGACACTCATTGCCATCTTGACTTCCTCTTTAGCAAATGCAATCACATTGGAACTTATGCAAAATATCAGTCAACTCGTGAGGGTCAAGATGTATTTCCTGTCTCCTATGAAGGATGCATAGCCAACTTTTGTCAGCCTTGGACTTTCAAAAGGGCAGGTGCCAAAAAGTTTTTGTTTTCAGTTGTTGAAACCATCATTATGGTGTGCTCAGTGTTTTCCTATTCAGTGCATTGTTTTGGCCATTATTATATTGTGAAGGTGATAGGAGAAATTGGATTTATTTAACTCAACTTTGCTTGGTACAGATATTTGTCTTTTGTATGATAGATCTTATAAATTTATTTTTTTATTGCAGCCAGAAAAGAGGTAAACCCATGCCCTAGTTAAATTCTTTTATATTTCTGTAACTTTCAGATAAGTTGGTGGGAGAATTTTCTGGCTGAGTCTAATGTGTGGGCTGCATTTGGCTGTCATCCTCATTATTCAAGTAGTTTTGGAGTTGAAGAGGAAGGTTACTTAAGGCATGCACTGCAGCATAAAAAGACAGTGGCTTTGGGGGAAATTGGTCTGGATTATTCTTGCAAGTAAGTTCTTAAAGAATGTGTTATCACCTCTTTAAGTACCCAACACTTAAATTATTATAAAGTCATGATACTAGTGAGTTGATCTACTAATGGTTTCTACTTCAATTATTTATTATGGGAGGGTCATTTCTAGATGTATGTTACCAGGAATATATGTTTTCCATGTTTGTAACCAATGTATAGTTTTGTATGCAATATAAGACAGCATCTGGCTGGTGATGTCAAGATAGTTAACAATGTGCCTCGCTGGTATCCCTCTGTATATGCTTTGTTTATAAAGTGTTATCAGATTGTTAATGATATGGTATACTTCTAGAAGCTGCAAACCACAGTTTACTGCCTCCTCTGCAATCATTGTATAATAAACAAATAGCCTCTTAACTATGGAAGAGGGGTTTGGCTTCTTGGCTGATAAGAAATAGGGTGACTAGATAAAATGTCAAGGAATGTTACTGTCAGCTTGTCTTTCTTTTACTGTTCTGGGCTTTCTTGTTTTGTTATTGTTCAGGATACCACCCTCTTTCCTCCTTTCACTACTTTTTCTTTCTATTTTCTCATTCATATCAGTATTTTCAAGAGACTGTAATACATGCAATTACAAACTGAGAGTAACGTTAACACTTTTTTAGGAATAACCACAGCCGAGAACTGCAGCAGATAGTGTTTCGACGCCAGCTGAAAATCGCTTTAGAGTTCAACAAACCTCTTGTGATACACTGTCGAGATGCAGATGAGGATTGCATAAATATTCTGAAGGAGGCAAGGTTTTTATAACTTTATTTTTATGTATCTCCATACATGGTCCATTTTTCAAGTCATTTGAACTATTTAATTCATGTGCTTCATATTTTGTGATGTAGGTCATGCTTAAAAGGACTGTCCCCAAGATTAGGGGGTCAGGAAGTGGTCATTTTGCACTAGGTTGCTTCTGATATATGTACCTGTGTGGGGAAACTTCTATTCGATTGTTAGACCCTACCTTAAGCATTCTAAGTATTTCACAAATAATGAATTCTACAAATAGAGTAAATATCTGATAAATAGTGTTAAGACACCAGGCGTATATGGACTGTACTATTACGCTTATTGTCAGATTGTAAGGACAGTCATACTATGATCTATGTTAGATCACATTTATGAATAGAATAATGATTCAAATGAGAAAGTGTTATATACAATATATAATTTATTTTTTACTATTATTTTAGTGTTAGATCAAGTTGGGTACTTGACATTGCACAGAAACTTACATATCTCTCTCTCTCTCTCTCTCTTTCTCTCTCTCTCTCTCTCT